ATGTTCATGAGCTGTGCTTTACTCCTCCCCCTGTTGAGACTGTTGTTTAGGATGATACTTCCACTTGTTGTATCAAAAAACAATGTTTGTATTGGTTTTTAAATCATTTTCATAAAAAACTGTATTCAGACACGAAGGTTTAATAACTTTGGTTGGGGGGAAGCATCTCCCGAACTCCTGCTTGTTAGTCCGCACAGATTCCCTGCTGTCATCCTACTGCTGAGTTTTTTGTTCTGCTAACTTTCTCCAAAGGGTCAAATCCAGCTCTCTTTAAATGCTAAACTCGATCTCTGTCTGTCATCTGTGGTTTTGGGATATGTATTTGCCAGTATTTTGACTTTTTCTAGTAGCTGTTTCTTGTGTTTCGTTTGCTTTCGTGTTTTGAGTTACTCATGCTGTTAGTCAATGAACATTGATTTTTCTGGTACAGTGTAGTTTTTTAAAGTCATCCCTGTTTTCTGTTTTCTATTCAGATCCTGTTCGTTAGTTACCTCAGTTCCCTACTGTTCTGATTATCAGTTCCACTTTCCTCCCCTGTGTCAAATATTCAGGCTGTATCAAACCTTCTTGGTTTTCCTCAATATTTGTCAGATCACTGCTCTTGTCATCACTATGCTGTATGCCTTCCTTTGCCTAGAGAGATGTTAACAGTTTCCTTGTTTAATTACAGTTGAGATTAATCTGGTCTTTTGTTTTGTTTTTTGTTTTTGTCCTGTTTGGATTTGCTTTCTATCAGTCATTCCTCATTTGCTCCTGGTCCTCCACACCATACCTACCACACTTCAAATTATTTTTAGTTTATCTGTATTTAAAGGCAGAAAAATTCACAGCCTCTGATACTACATATACTAATTGGATTATTGACTAACACAACTATTGGTGTTATTGACCCATGTGGCCGAAAACCAATATACTTCAAAGTTTTCCAAAGATTTGTAGGACTTAATTACAATCATATTGTTTACATTTTTCATTTTTGATATTAGAAAGCTTTGGGTTTGAAGAAAAACAATGTATTTGCACACACTGGGTGTTGGAACAGGAATTTTAAGTGTACTCAGTACATACAAACAGGCATTGAAGTTGATATAAGACTTGTTTAACCAGCTCTAAAAATCAGACTGGTGTCAATCAATCCAATAGTTATTATTTTCTAGATGCTTTCTATTTTCATGATTCTCTCGAGAATCCATCCCCTACAGGGATTGGACAATGAAACTGAAACACCTGGTTTTGGACCACAATATGGTGTAGGGCCTCCTGGCCAATACAGCGTTAATTCGTCTTGGGAATTACATATACGTCCTGCACAGTGGTCAGAGGGATTTTAAGCCATTCTTCTTGCAGGATAGTGGCCAGGTCACGACGTGATGCTGGTGGAGGAATATGTTTCCTGACTCGCTCCTCCAAAACACCCCAAAGTGGCTTAATAATATTGAGATCTGGTGACTGTGCAGGCCATGGGAGATGTTCAACTTCACTTTCATGTTCATCAAACCAATCTTTCACCAGTTTTGCTGTGTGTATTGGTGCATTGTCATCCTGATACACGGCACCTCCTTCAGGATACAGTGTCTGAACCATTAGATGCACATGGCCCTCCAGAATGGTTCGGTAGTCCTTGGCAGTGACGTGCCCATCTAGCACAAGTATGCGGCCAAGAGAATGCCATGATATGGCAGCCCAAACCATCACTGATCCACCCCCATGCTTCACTCTGGGCATGCAACAGTCTGGGTGGTACGCTTCTTTGGGGCTTCTCCACACCGTAACTCTCCCGGATGTGGGGAAAACAGTAAAGTCGGACTCATCAGAGAATATTTCACATTGTCCACATCCCAAGATTTGCGCTCCTTGCACCATTGAAACCGACTTTTGGCATTGGCACGAGTGACCGAAGGTTTGGCTATAGCAGCCCGGCCGTGTATATTGACCTGTGGAGCTCCCGATGGACAGTTTTGGTGGAAACAGGAGAGTTGAGGTGCACATTTAATTCTGCCATGATTTGGGCTGCCGTGGTTTTATGTTTTTTGGATACAATCCGGGTTAGCACCCGAACATCCCTTTCAGACGGCTTCCTCTTGTGTCCACCGTTAATCCTGTTGGATGTGGTTCGTCCTTCTTGGTGGTATACTGACATTACCCTGGATACCGTGGCTCTTGATACATCACAAAGACTTGCTGTGTTGGTCACAGATGCGCCAGCAAGACGTGCACCAACAATTGGTCCTCTTTTTAACTCTGGTATGTCACCCATAATGCTGTGTGCATTGCAATATTTTGAGCAAAACTGTCCTCTTCCCATGCTAATTGGACCTTCACAGTCTGCTCTTATTGGTTCAATGTGCAATTAATGAAGATTGGCCACCAGGCTGGTCCAATTTAGCCATGAAACCTCCCACACTAAAATGAGAGGTGTTTCAGTTTCATTGTCCAACCCCTGTATATCTATAAGGTTATTAACACTGTCAGCCTTACACCTTAATCATGTCCAGTGTAATGTCACCTAAAACAAAGAATGAACGCATCACGAACATTAAGAACCTCCAGATGTGTAATACACAAGATTTTTACAAGTTATATTTATGTCCCGAAATGATATTTCTTTTTTATTTATTTATTTTTTTTCTTTTTTCTTTTATTTTGTTGGCTCTAGTGGCCTTTCAGACCATCACCTTGTAACTGTTCATTTTTCTTTGATGGTGCCTCCTCACAGATCTCCTTATTGGCATTTTAACATAAGACTTATCCATGATAAGACTTTCTGTCAGTCTTTCGTTGATTTTTGGAGTCAATGGAGAAGCAGGAAGTCAGGGTTTGAAATCATAGGTCAATGGTGGGAGGTGGGGAAAACACAGATCAGAATTTTTTGTCAGCAATACACATCACACACAGAAGCAATAGAAAGGGATCAGGTTGAGTTATTAGAAAGGGAACTTCATGTTTTGGAAGAGGGAATAGCTAGTGGGTTGGACAGAAATGATAATAAAGTGACTTGGGAGAAGAAGAAGGCATCATTAAGTAAATTTTTATACGAAAAAGGTAAAGGAGCTTTAATTAAATCCAGAATACTATCTATAAGGGACATAGATGCACCGACTAGATTCTTTTTTAAGCTAGAAAGAAAGGTCAGGCAACACAACCAGATTATGCATCTCAAAAGCTCCAATGGGTCGGTGACCAGTGACCCGTCTGAGATGAAGAGGCTAGCCATAGACTTTTACAGCAGCCTGTTTAGAGCGGATGAGTGTGACCCAGATCGTGTGGAGGAGATACTGGAGGGACTCCCTCGTTTAGGGGAGGCGTTGGCAGCCTCCTTGGAGTCCAGGGTTAAGTTTGAGGAGCTGTCTACAGCGGTGAGCCAGCTCAGCTGTGGTCGGGCGTCAGGTGTCGATGGACTTCCATCTGAATTTTATCTGATTCTCTTATTTATCATCTGAAGACATTCTGGAGCGTATTTGGAAAGGACCTAATGGACGTTTTCAAAGGATGTTTGGACTCTGTGACGTTACCAACGAGCTGTAGGAGGGCAGTTCTGACGTTACTGCCAAAAAAAGGAGACTTGGGACTACTACAGAACTGGAGGCCTGTATCACTACTCTGCACTGACTATAAAATACTGGCCAAAGTACTGGCAAATAGACTTAAAAATATATGGACTCAGTTGTAGACGCCAGCCAGAAGTACTGTTTCCCTGACAGGACAATAATGGACAATTTGTTTGTACTCAGAGACATCATAGACCTGTCAAAACACCAGGAATTAGATCTAGGTTTGCCTTCTCTGGATCAAGAAAAGGCATTTGATAGAGTAGATCATAAATACTTGTTTAAAACACTTAAAGCATTTGGTTTTGGTACAATTTTCATTTCATGGATAGAGTTGTTGTACTCAAAGGCCACTGTATTATTGAAGGTAGGAGGGGGACTTAGCAGACCGGTTTCTGTACAGAGAGGGATGCTTTATACTTTGGCCATTGAGCCTCTCTTACATCAGCTCAGGAAAAATATATCAGGTTTAAACTTAGCGGACAAAACAAACAAAATCTTCTTTTAAGTTGTCAGCTTTTGCTGACGACATAACCATATTCATAGGATGTCAAAAGGATGTTAGAACACCGGAGCAAAAATTAAATTATATGAGCAAGCTTCTTCAGCCAAGGTTAACTGGTCAAAGTGTGAGGGTCTGTTACTGGGAGAGTGGAGCAATAAAGAGAGGCCGACCTTACCGGCCGGGCTGCAGTGGAGCACAGAGGGGATGAAGGTGCTAGGCGTTTACCTAGGGAATGAGGACTTTCAGTTAAAAAACTCGGAAGGCATAGGTGAGAAAATAGGTGCCCGATTGTCTAGATAGAAATGGGTCCAGCCCCAGTTGTCCTACAGGGGGAGGACTTTGGTCGCCAAAAGTCTAGCTGCATCCATGCTCTGGCATCGGGCCACCGTTCTAGTTCCTCCGGACAAAACATTAAAGCAGATACAGAAGAGGCTGGTGGACTTTTTATGGGATGGTTACCACTGGATTCGATCGGCTGTGCTGTTTTTACGTGTGGCGGAAGGGGGTCAAGGGCTGATTGACCTCAGGAGCCACATAACTGCGCTTCGGCTCCAGACGGCACAAAGATATCTGTACAGAACGCAGCAGCCCTGGACTCAAACGGCATCCCTGCTGCTGCAAAGAGTGGAGAACACCTGTTTCTGTTGAACCTGGATGGTATGGACATTACACAAACTTCCAGTTTTTATCAGTCAGTGTTGGATGACTGGAGAACAATTTTTTTTTTTTTTTTTTTTTTCCAACATTATCTTTATTGTTTTTTTCAACAGTGTTTCAAACAATACACAAGGCACAAGTGTGCTCCCACATCAGAGGAAAGTCCAGGGTAGTTAGATTAATGTCCAATATTCAGCTTCTTTCCTTGCATGCCAGGTTTTTATAAGATGTTTTAGAGCAGCACTTATTACATACAAAATATATGAGAAAAAAAGAACAATATCCCTCACCCCACCCACCCTGAGAACAAACAACAAATACAACAATAACGGTTTCTCTATTTTCCAGGAGTTAGCCCAAATTATTTTAGTATTGTACGTAGTTCAGAGAATACAAACTCAAATGTACAATTCAAAGTAAAGTAGTCAATTATACAAATAAAGAAGATTATTTTAGGACACTGCAGAGGACCAACCGCTACTATGACTCACCCGCCACCCTCATATCTATGTTTTCTATGTATTCCATAAAAGGACCCCAAATATTTTGAAATAGTGATAGTTTCCCTTTTATAATGAAAGTGATCTTTTCCATTGGTAAGGTTGTGGATATTTCAGTAATCCATTTAATGAATTTTGGTTTACTGGTACTCTTCCAGGCGGCACGGTGGTGTGGTGGTTAGCACTGTCGCCTCCCAGCAAGAGGGTTCTGGGTTCGAATCCCGGGGGAACCAGGACCCTTCTGGGTGGAGTTTGCATGTTCTCCCTGTGTCTGCGTGGGTTCTCTCCGGGTTCTCCGGCTTCCTCCCACAGTCCAAAAACCTGCATGTTAGGTTGATTGGAGATTGGGGAAATTGCCCTTAGGAGTGAATGTGAATGTGAGTGTGAGTGGTTGTTTGTCCTTGTATGTCCTGTGTGTGGCCCTGCGATGGACTGGCGGACTGTCCAGGGTTTACCCTGCCTCTCGCCCGTTGACCACTGGGATAGGCTCCAGTTCCCCCCGCGACCCCATGAGGGAATAAGCGGTATTGATAATGGATGGATGGATGGATGGTACTCTTCCATGAGAGCGCTATGACTCTTTTTGCAAGTAGTAAACATAAATCCATGGTAGTAATAATTTTTCTGGACATATGATGTTTGTCAGGATATAAACCTAGGATGAACAATTTGGGGTCAAGAGCTAGCTTTATACCTAGTATCGTCTCTAGGGCTTGTTTTATCTCCCTCCAGAATTGTATAACTTTCTTGCATTTCCAGATGCAATGGAAGAATGTTCCCTTCTCTTCTCCACATCTAGTACACAAGTCTGGGATGGCACCATTGTATTTGTTAAGCTTTTCTGGCGTCACATAAGTTCTCATTAGCCAATGATATTGCAGTACTTTGAGGCGTGTATTGATAGTTTGTGTTTGTGCTTTAGCACACGCCTTCTCCCAGTCTTCCAAAAGCAAATTCTCCTGTAGATCCTCCCTCCAGGCATTGAGCTTCCATAGAGATGACTCAGAGGATCCCTCCACTAAGATGCTATATAGTTTAGAAATAATTCCTTTTCTAAAGCAATCAGTCTTCATTTCAATTTTCAAGGTGGACATCAGGGGATCATCAGGGATGGATTCACATTGATTTTGAGATGATCTAATAAAATTTCTCACTTGCAGATATTTAAAATAATGTTTGCTTGGGATATCATACCTGGCCTTTAACTCTTCAAATGACATCAAAACCCCGTCCTCCGATTCCACCAGATCTCCTATTGTCTTTAAACCTTTTTCAGCCCATTTCCTAAAGCCAGGATCTGCCCTACCTGGAGGGAAGGATTGGTTACCCCATATTGGACTGAAGCGTGATAGGGAGGAGGAATCACCTAAATACTTCTTAACCTGATACCAAACCAAGATCATATTTCTGACTATAGGGTTTTTTGTAATTTTTTTCAGCATTTTTATGTTTGCTGAGAAAATGTATTGGGGTAGAGGGAGAGGAACAGAACAATTTTCAATAATCACCCATGGCAAGAGACATCTATCTGTAAAATAATACATCATAGTCCTCAATTGAGCTGCCCAGTAGTACCAAAGTGGATTGGGGCACCTGAGGCCTCCTCTATCATACGGTAGATACAAAAGTGTTAACCGAAGCCTTGGTCGTCTGTTATTCCACAGAAAGCGTATGAAAATGTTTTTTAGGGCCGAAAATAAATTTGCAGGAGGTGGCAATGGAATGTTCTGAAAGAAATACAGAAGTTTGGGCATTATGTTGGATTTAAGGACATTGATTCGTGCTATAAGTGACAAAGGTAGGTGATTCCATCTATCTACAGAGGCAGCAATTGAGTCTATCATGGGGTTATAGTTAACTGCAACAATGTCATTTATATGTGGTACTATCCTAATCCCCAAATATGTAAAACAGTCTACCTTTTTGAATTGGTAAGGATTCCCAACACTGTTTCTTTCTTCTGAATTGAGTAACATTAATGAAGACTTATCTTTATTTACTTTATATCCTGATATTTTTCCAAATGTATTTATTAGATCTAACAAGGCTAGAATAGAGTCTTTCAGTTTTTCTAAAAAAAAGGATGACATCATCAGCAAATAGAGCAATTCTATGTTCCTGTTGGCCTATTGTCAAACCGGTTATGTTTTTATGGGACCGCACCGCAATGGCAAATGGTTCTATTGCTAGAATAAATAATAAAGGGGACAAGGGGCATCCTTGCCTACAACCCCTTTTAATTTTAAATGGTTTAGATATAACTCCATTTGTTACTATTCCAGCATAAGGCTCATTGTATAAAAGTTTAACCCATCGACAGAAGTTGTCCCCGCAGCCAAATCTTTTCAGTATCTCGAATAAATAGGGCCATTCGACTCTATCAAAGGCTTTTTCGGCATCCAATGATAGCAAAGCAGTGTCTGTTTTTTCTTCCATATTATAAATTATATCCAACACTCGTCTCACATTGTGAAATCCCTGTCTTCCTACAATAAACCCATTTTGGTCACAACTAATTATTTCGGGCAATATTTTCTCCAGTCTTCGCGCGAGGATTTTACAAAGAATCTTTAAATCGACATTAAGAAGACTTATTGGTCTTAGATTTTCACATTTGTTGCCAGGTTTGCCAGGTTTAGGTAATAAAGTAATCAGGGCTCCTCTTAGTGAGGCAGGAAGAATTCCCTTTTCAAATTAGTCTAGATACATGTCAAAAAGGGGGGCTAGCAGTTTAGCTTTGAATTTCTTGTACAATTCTGTTGGCAGCCCATCTGGGCCTGGGGCTTTACCTGTTCTCAAGTGATCTATTGCTATAGATATTTCCTCTTTAGTTATAGCTGCACTGAGATCTGTACTCATTAATTCTGAGATATTGTTCATTTGGAGAGATCCTCAGAAAACATTTTGCTCTTGTTCCTTATGCGTCATGTCTGAGCTGTATAGTTTTTCAAAAAATACCTTAAATGCTTCATTGATTTCTGACGGGTCGGTAATAATCTCTCCCTGATTATTTTCAACTGAGGTAATATTTTTCTCATTTTGTAATTGTCGGAGTCGCCAGGCTAATAATTTTCCAGGTTTTTCCCCTTGATCATAGAACGACTGCTTAAGACGCAAAAGTTGTGAGGCGGCTTTTGAGGCAGAAAGTTCGTTATACTGTGTTCTTAATATCAGAAGTTTTTTATGGGTGTTTGGACATAGTGTTTGATAATAATCTCTCTCAAGCCGCTCAATCTCTGCTGCCAACTCTTTTGTTTTTTGATAAGTTTGTTTTGCCTTATGACTCGTAAAGCTAATTATTTGACCCCTTATATAGGCCTTGAAGGCTTCCCACCTTGAAGAGGGTGGTGTTTCATCTCTATTGATGTCAAAATAGATGCTAATTTGATTGTCTATAAAAAATATAAATTCTGGGTCCAAGAGCCATTTTTGTTTAAATCTCCACCTAGGAGGGTCTCTCCTTAGTCTTAAATCCTCATAGAGAAGATGATTTGGTGCATGGTCAGAAATTAAGATGCTATCGTAATGACAGTCTCTTATTTTGTGTCTCAAAGATGCAGAAATTAAAAAGTAATCGATACGTGAATATGACTTGTGTGTATTTGAATAACATGAGTATTTCAAACTCTTTGGATTCATGTCTCTCCAAATATCCATCAAATTTAGATCCTTCATAAAGTGTTGAATTGTTTTTCTACTTTTAGAGTGAGAGTTGTCAGTACCTGAGCTTCTGTCCAGTTCTGGGTTCATTGTGCAGTTAAAATCTCCCGCTATAATATAGCTGCCAGACAAAGATGAAATTGTAAGAAAGAGATTTTGAAAAAACTTTGGATCGTCAATATTTGGGGCATAAATATTTATCAGATTTATTTTTTCTGAGATAAGTGTGCCCTGCAGAATAATGTACCTCCCAGCCTTGTCTCTAATAACCCTTGTCACACGGAGTGGTATGGATTTATGAATCAGAATCATAACCCCTCTTGCCTGGGAAGTAAAAGGTGCTGAATATATGCTGCCCTGCCATCTCCTGCCAATCCTTGCCTCCTGTCCAGACAACAGGTGAGTTTCCTGAAATAACACAATATCAGAGTGCATAGATTTCACCCTAGTCATTATCTGCTTAACTTTTTTTAGTTTCTGTAATCCTCTGCAGTTCCAAGAAGACACTTTAATTCTTAATCCACCAGACATACTGTATAACACTTAATGGGCTTCCTATTATTTTCAAATTGTTTAAAAACAAAGAAACCAAGAACATTTGAATGTTAAAAGCAATACCCATGGTAATGATGAACACTGAACAGTAAACCCCTTTCGAACTCTGTTGCCCACCCTCCCCCCCCCCTTTTAGTACTCTGGTACCCATCTAACAGCTGAAGGCCGGTCCACACGAAAGTGAGGATCAGTGTGCCTGAATATTTTCCTCTTACCCCACCCCACTACAATAAGAAACTCGTTACTATTGCCTATGAGCCTCTGGGATAGCAAACAAGGAATATAATAAACACATTTTTTATTCTTACTTATTTTACTTAACTTTAGGTATCGTAATTGTCCATCCCTTTTAATACTTTGCGATGTATTAATGTCATTGTCTCACCCAGGTCCACTTTCTGTTTTCAGAGTCTTTACAAAGTTCTCTGCTTCAGCTGGTTGGTTAAAAATCCGAGACTGACCGTTGTGTGTCACCAGCAGTCGAGCGGGAGGAATCATGCCGTATCGTATCCCCATGGCACGGAGTTGTTGTCTCACACCGTCAAACTCTTTCTGTTTTTTATGCACACCAGCTGCGAGGTCCTC